CTGTGTGGAGGGGGAGGGGATATGAATGACATCATATCCCTGCTTCCTGTGTTCCACAGAGCCGGCCACCTGTCAGCATGCAGAAGGTATGTAATTGTGACTGTCTGTGTGTGTGTGTATGTATGTATGTCTCTGTGTGCCTGTATGTATGTTTGTGTGCCTGTATGTATATATGTCTCTACGTGCATGTTTGTATGTATGTCTCTGTGTGCCTGTATGTATGTATGTATGTATGTATGTCTCTGTGTGCATGTATTGTATGTATGTCTCTGTGTGCATGGATGTATGTATGCCTCTCTGTGTACATGTATGTATGTATGCCTCTCTGTGCCTGTATTGTATGTATGTCTCTGTGTGCATGTATGGTATGTATGTCTCTGTGTGCATGTATGTATGTATGTATGTATGTCGCTCTGTGCCTGTATGTATGTATGCCTCTCTGTGCCTGTATTGTATGTATGTCTCTGTGTGCATATATTGTATCTATGTCTTTGTGTGCATTTGTGTAGGTATTGTATGTAGGTATATATGTCTCTGTTTGCCTGTATGTATGTCTCTGTGTGCATGTATGTATGTATGTATTGTATGTATGTTTCTGTGTGCATGTATGTATGTCTCTGTGTGCATTTGTGTAGGTATATATGTATGTATGGATGTATGTCTCTGTGTGCCTGTATGTATGTCTCTGTGTGCATGTATTGTATGTATGTCTCTGTGTGCATGTATGTATGTATGTATGTCGCTGTGTGCCTGTATGTATGTATGCCTCTCTGTGCCTGTATTGTATGTATGTCTCTGTGTGCATGTATTGTATCTATGTCTTTGTGTGCATTTGTGTAGGTATTTTATGTAGGTATGTATGTCTCTGTGTGCATGTATGTATGTATGTATGTATGTATTGTATGTATGTCTCTGTGTGCATGTATGTATGTCTCTGTGTGCATTTGTGTAGGTATTGTATGTATGTATGTATGTCTCTGTGTGCCTGTATGTATGTCTTTGTGTGCATGTATGTATCTATATATCTCTCTGTGTGCATGTATGTATGTCTCTGTGTGCATGTATGGATGTCTCTGTACGCAAGTATGTATGTATGCCTCTGTATGCATGTATGTGTATGTGTGTATGTATGTATGTGTCTGCATGCCTTTACATCTTTGTATGTATGTTTCTGTATGCCTGTATGCCTCTGTATGCCTGCATGTCTCTGTACCTCTGTATGTGTGCATGTCTCTGTATGTGTGCATGTCTCTGCCTGTATGTCTCTATGTGACTGTCTGTATGTCTCTGCCTGTATCTCTCTGTCTGTATGTCTCTGTATGATTATGTCTGTGTTTGTATGACAGTGTACCTGGATGACATTGTTTGATTGTGTGCCTGAAAAACAATGTATGTGTGCCTCTATGATTGTGTAAATATGTATGTATTTTTGCCTGCATATCTATGTCTACATGGCTTGGAAGAAAAGACACACAAAGGGATCTGGAGGGGAGGGACACACAAAACGGAGAAATAGCCACATAGAGGGACTGTGGGGTAAGAGACACAAAAAGGGGATGGGTGTAAGTAAGAGACATACAAAGGAGGTTGTAAGACACATTAAAGAGGGGTAATACATTCAAAAGAGGGGATATGAAACACTAAAGAGGGTAAGAAAGTAAGAAATTCAAAAGGGGGGGGCGGTTACAAGACACACAGGTGAAGACGCAGTTTTTTTGCGGGTGGGGGAAGGGAGGCGACAAAATGCATCTTCGCCTGTGTAGCTAAAAATCCTTGCACCGGCCCTGTATGTGCCTTCACCAAACTCTTACAGTTTTATATGTTTTAGTGTAAGGAACTTTGCATTTTTAAGATACCTATTTTATGGCTTTCATGGAGGTTTATTAAAAGAGTACATCTTTATGAAGTTGTTATTGGGGCTGGAGTGACTGGGTTCAATCTTAATAACGTCATCTTTATGAAGTTGTTATTGAGGCTGGAAAAACTGGGTTCAATCTTAAACAATCTTCAAACAGTTTAAACCAGAAGTTGTCCAGCCAGTGCCCATCAGCACTGCCTCCTTAGGCTGTCGCACAGAAAACAAAGGTTTTGACTCGATAGCCGGTGATATTAGTATCAGCTCTTCTACATTCTATATAGGGTCAGGATTTAGGGATTACCCTGCTGTGTCTAATGTGTTTTTTGGGGGGGGGGGACAAACACAACAGGGTAATCCCTAAATCCTGGACTGGTACGGGGTCCTTGAGGACTGGGTTGTGAACCCCTGATTTAGATGATATTGAGAAGTCATGTGGTCTGCACATTGCATGCACTCTAAAGGGAGATTTCATAGAACATAACTGTTGTCAAAGATTACTAAAGATTACTAAAATTAAACCAAATTGTATCTGATCATCAGAAGAACATATTGCTAAATGGTTATGCTTTCTTAAAATATATCACATCGGTTCAATGTATTTTTAGCTTCTGACACAGTGCTGCAATATTATATGATAAAAATAACTTCAAATGATGGTAGTGAATATTAATTAATGCATTTTATACTAGAATTGTTAACATATGTATATGTTGCTTAATAAATAAAGAACCCCCCCCCCCAAAAAAAAAAAAAACAGTCCCTCTTGTCTCCTGTTATCTATATGCTAAATGCTGAGAACTGCAGGACAGGAGAGAGCAGAATACCCAATTATGGTCTATTCTACTGCTCTTTGTCTAAGCAACTGCAAAACATGCACTGTAGTTGCTATATTTATTTATCTGAAAAACACGTTTCATGATTTGCTAGTGGAATATTAGAATTAAATAATAGACATTCCATTCGCACACAGATGCAATGGCAATGAAACCTACATCTCACTTGATGGGCGAAGAGAGCTGTGCTTGAAAAATTGCTTACAAGCAGGACCAATAGGTTGGTGAAGGGGTGAGACATTAGCAGGATGAGTGAGTGGGTCATTAGGCATGCTGGTAGCGACATTGACACTAGGGAAGGAGTATTTAATTTTAATTTTCTTCTCCTAAAGCAATTTATTTTACAAAAATTTATCACAATGTATACTTACATATTAAGTACAAAATATTTTATCTCTCAATGTAAATAGCTTAATATTATTCTAAATATCCTAGCAAATTTAGAAAACATTTGAAATCATATATTTAAAGTAATTATACATGATTTACCATTTTCCTTCAAATCTCAATATTTGCTCAAGTTAAGATATCTATCCACTGAGATCAGATAAAACTGTTTGCAAAGAGTGAATATATATATACACATATATATATACAGGGTATCTCACAAACGTTTTTGTAAATATTTTATTATATCTTTTCATGTGACAACACTGACGAAATGACTCTTTGCTACAATGTAAAGTATTAAGTGTACAGCCTGTATAACAGTGTAAATTTGCTGACCCCTTAAAATAACTTAACACACAGCCACTAATGTCTAAACCGTTGGCAACAAAAGTGACTACACCCCTAAGTGGAAATGTCCAAAATGGGCCCAATTAGCCATTTTTACCTCACCGGTGTCATGTGACTCATTAGTGTTACAAAGTCTCTGGTGTGAATGGGGAGCATTCACACTCTCTCATACTGGTCAATGGAAGTTCAACATGGCACCTCATGGTAAAGAACTCTCTGAGGATCTGAAAAAAAGAATTGTTGCTCTACATAAAGATGGCTATAAGAATATTGCCAAGACCCTGAAACTGCAGTTTCACAGGACAGATTTAACAGGACAGGTTTCACTCAGAACAGGCCTTGCCATGGTCGACCAAAAAAGTTGAGTGCACGTGCTCAGCGTCATATCCATAGGCGGTCTTTAAAAAATAGATGTATGAGTTCTGCCAGCATGGTGTCAAGAGTGTGTGGTGGCAACCAGGTGAGGATTACAAAGACAAATGTGTCTTGCCTGCAGTCAAGCATGGTGGTGGGAGTGTCATGGTCTGGGCCTGCATGAGTGCTGCCGGCACAAGGGAGCTACAGTTCATTGAGGGAACCATGAATGCCAACATGTACGGTGACATACTGAAGCAGATCATGACCCCCTCCCTTCAGAAACTGGGCCACAGGGCAGTATTTCAACATGATAACGACCCTAGACACACCTCCAAGACGACCAGTGCCTTGCTAAAGAAGCTGGAGGTAAAGTTGATGGACTGGCCAAGCATGTCTTCAGACCTAAACCCTATTGAGCATCTGTGGGGCATCCTCAAATGGAACGTGGGGTAGCACAAGGTCTTTAACATCCACCAGCTCGGTGATGTTGTCATGGAGTAGTGGAAGAGGACTCCAGTGGCAACCTATGATGATGGTTAAGGTTGTGCTGTAAAATAATGGAGGCCACAAAAAATATTAACACTTTGGGCCCAATTTGCACATTTCCACTTAAGGGTGTACTCACTTTTGTTGCCAATGGTTGAGACATTAATGTCTGTGTGTTGAGTTATTTTGATGGGACAGCAAATTTACACAGTTATAAGGGCTGTACACTTACTAATTTGCATTGTAGCAGAGTGTAATTTCTTCAGTGTTGTCACATGAAAATATAGAATAAAATATTTACAAAAATGTGAGGGGTGTACTCACTTTAGTGAGATACTGAATATATATATATATATATATATATATATACATATATGTATTTCCTGGCAGCACAACAATGGGTAGCTCCTCCCTATCCCTAATTAGACAAGAACTAATTGAAATAAGGGTATAAGTACCCCGCCCTCCCTCAGTTTTCTTGTTCCTGTCCTATTCCTATAGGACATTTAGTCATTTCAAGACTAAAATTTATTTTCTTTTTGGGTTACCTGAGGGTGTTTACCTACGGCCCCAAAGGAGTTCAGCCTCTCCTCTTTGGGAAGTTTCAGTACATGGCCCTATGGATGCATCCGACTGAAGATCCCCCTTTAGTGACCAGGGATTAACTTGCACTGACCTTAGGCATAGCAAGAGAAAAAATACAAATACAATGGATTCCCTACAGTTAATATAGTCTCTCTCTTTAAAAATAATCTGGCATCTCGCAGTGTAATATATATATATATATATATATATATATATATATATATATATACACACACACTGTGAGATGCCAGATTATTTTTAAAGAGAGAGACTATATTGAGTCCAGGATGATATATTCTTCTTGCCACTTCCTACTACACACATATATATATATATATATATATATATATATATATACACACAGTTGCAAGAAAAAGTATGTGAACCCTTTAGAATGATATGGATTTCTGCACAAATTGGTCATAAAATGTGATCTGATCATCATCTAAGTCACAACAATAGACAATCACAGTCTGCTTAAACTAATAACACACAAAGAATGAAATGTTGCCATGTTTTTATTGAACACACCATGTAAACATTCACAGTGCAGGTGGAAAAAGTATGTGAACCCCTAGACTAATGACATCTCCAAGAGCTAATTGGAGTGAGATGTCAGCCAACTGGAGTCCAATCAATGAGATGAGATTGGAGGTGTTGGTTACAGCTGCCCTGCCCTATAAAAAACACACACCAGTTCTGGGTTTGCTTTTCACAAGAAGCATTGCCTGATGTGAATGATGCCTCGCACAAAAGAGCTCTCAGAAGACCTACGATTAAGAATTGTTGACTTGCATAAAGCTGGAAAGGGTTATAAAAGTATCTCCAAAAGCCTTGCTGTTCATCAGTCCACGGTAAGACAAATTGTCTATAAATGGAGAAGGTTCAGCACTGCTGCTACTCTCCCTAGGAGTGGCCGTCCTGTAAAGATGACTGCAAGAGCACAGCGCAGACTGCTCAATGAGGTGAAGAAGAATCCTAGAGTGTCAGCTAAAGACTTACAAAAGTCACTGGCAAATGCTAACATCCCTGTTAGCGAATCTACAATATGTAAAACACTAAACAAGAATGGATTTCATGGGAGGATACCACAGAGGAAGCCACTGCTGTCCAAACAAAACATTGCTGCACGTTTACAGTTTGCACAAGAGCACCTGGATGTTCCACAGCAGTACTGGCAAAATATTCTGTGGACAGATGAAACCAAAGTTGAGTTGTTTGGAAGAAACACACAACACTATGTGTGGCGAAAAAAAGGCACAGCACACCAACATCAAAATCTCATCCCAACTGTGAAGTATGGTGGTGGGGGCATCATGGTTTGGGGCTGCTTTGCTGCGTCAGGGCCTGGACGGATTGCTATCATCGAAGGAAAAATTAATTCCCAATTTATCAAGACATTTTGCAGGAGAACTTAAGGCCATCTGTCTACCAGCTGAAGCTCAACAGAAGATGGATGTTGCAACAGGACAATGACCCAAAGCATAGAAGTAAATCAACAACAGAATGGCTTAAACAGAAGAAAATATGCCTTCTGAAGTGGCCCAGTCAGAGTCCTGACCTCAACCCGATTGAGATGCTGTGGCATGACCTCAAGAAAGCGATTCACACCAGACATCCCAAGAATATTGCTGAACTGAAACAGTTCTGTAAAGAGGAATGGTCAAGAATTACTCCTGACCGTTGTGCACGTCTGATCTGCAACTACAGGAAACGTTTGGTTGAAGTTATTGCTGCCAAAGGAGGTTCAACCAGTTATTAAATCCAAGGGTTCACATACTTTTTCCTCCTGCACTGTGAATGTTTACATAGTGTGTTCAATAAAAACATGGCAACATTTAATTCTTTGTGTGTTATTAGTTTAAGCAGACTGTGATTGTCTATTGTTGTGACTTAGATGATGATCAGATCACATTTTATGACCAATTTGTGCAGAAATCCATATCATTACAAAGGGTTCACATACTTTTTCTTGCAACTGTATATAGTGAAATTTTCTATATTTTAAAAAATATATATATATATAAATATTTGTGGAGATGTTAAACACATTGTGGTAAAAAGTTCCACAAGGGAGGTAAAGCCAAGTTAAGGCCAAGATAATAATAAATGTCTGTATAGTAAATTACAGCTTTTAGTTGGTCTTGCACATTGTTAAAGGGACACTATAGGCACTATAGGCACTATAGGCACCAGACCACATCAGCTCACTGAAGTAGTCTGGGTGCAGTGTCCCAGGTCCCTGAGAAGGTAATTATTGCAGTTTTTAATAAACTGCAATAATTATCTGCTAAGTTAACTCTACCTTCAGTGGCTGTCTACCAGATATCCACTAGAAAGACTTCCAAGCTGTTAGGCAACTTTTGGTCGCCTAACTGATGCTGGACATCCTCACGCTATGCATGAGGGCTGTCCAGCATCACCCATAGGAAATAATCCAATTAGACCTTAGGCAACAGTGTTGTTACCATAGGGAGCTATAGCACTAACTGAAAAAAGGATCAATCTAAAATTAATAAAGATATTATTAGTTAGCATAAATGGTTTCCATCCTATGTACTTATAAGGACAAATTCTGGATAAAACAAAAATGTTACTGCACTTCTGAAGGTTTCCAATACACTGGCTCCTGTCTGAGAATGTTTGTTTATTAACCAATAGTAATACCCCAGGCAGAACATTCAAAGCAAAAGTATACAAGACATATAAACTCTTTAACGCTGGCTGTTCAAACAAAATTTATTTTGCTTGTACACTTATATTTTTGATGTCCTGCATGGTGCTCCACTATTTTGGTTAACATGCAAGTATTCTCAAACCTTCAGGAGAGAGGTAAAGTTTTTTTGTAAGTTAGTTACTTTTGGAACTTAATTTACCATCACCTGAAGAAATGGTTTAGTAATTATTTTACAGTTGTCTCTTGTATATTTAGTTAGTGTTGGGAAGCAATATTTTATACTCAGTCAAGTTCTGGATAAATGATGGTTATCAAACATAACGTATTATTTACTGCTAAACATAAATGAAAGTGAATGTTAACACCTGTGTTCAGTGTAAATATAACATTAAATATAACATATTTACATCTTTTTTCCATATTCGTGCCAGACATGTTCTTTAGTGGTCTTATACTGGCACCGTGTGGTTATTTCTTAGTATAACACCTATTAAAACACAAGGGCTATTGACTAAAGTGAGATTTGTTGGGAATTCAAAGCAAATTCTGGGTTATACACTGGCTCCTACTGTTGCAATAGAAAAGATAGTGTCGGTAAGCTTTTATAAAGGCTTTCCCTCTATGAGAGCTTATTACTAGGACTGATTTTAATTAGTTGCATTAAAATATATAAATTTTTATTTGCCCTTTTTTCTGGGCTGAAGATAAGAATTAGAAGAAAAAACACTTTGGATTGAAGTATAATTTTATTTTGCAGGTATTAGTATTAATTCCCCTTCACTATTATTAGGGTAATTGGGGTAGTTAGGGTTATTACTTTTTAATGGCAACGACTTGGTTATTGGGGACTCCTAGCCATTTGGTGGGAGTAGGACTGGACATAACACTATTTTAGTGGTGGACAATAGCATGCCCCCAGACCTATTGTTTATTTAATTAAAGTCTTCACCCACTGCCCCTGTTTATCATAATCTGAGTGGGATCAGGAGATGGACATCAGGTTTTCCCCACTGACTATTATTATTAGGGCCTCTAGTCACTGTCAATGATTGGGAAAGGTGACACTGGGACCCTCTCACCCCTTTATTATTATAATAGCCCCCGTGTCCTTATTTATCCATTAATGGAGCAGTGGACAGTAATCTTTACACCCTCTATACTTATACCTGATACTCTAGTGAATAGGGAGCATTGGCTGTCCAGTTGCAAGTTTTAAAAGTTTAACAGACATGCCCCCATCTGCTGCATGGCCAGTAGGGATGGAAGGAAGTGTTAAGCCTCCCTTATCATAATATGGGGGTCATATGGACCCACATAGAGTTTTATTTAAATATTATTAAAGGCATCCTACACAGGGCCAGATTAAGAGCCACGTGGGCCTGGTGCTGACAATTATGACGGGCCTAATTAAAGAATCATATCGACCAAAACCAGTAAAACACTCCCAAGCATCATGTATCTGATGGAGATGGTGCTGGAGAGAAAGAAAACAGCAGCTATAAGAAAACACATACCCTAGGCTAATCTCTCTCTAATTTATGTTTTCATCTTTCAAGTAAATCCATAACCCCTAACAGCAGTGTTCAGTCAAGCAGGAAGTCAATGGGCTGGGTAAAAGGGTGTGCCACTGACACAAATCACGTAACCTGCCAAAAGGGGCGTACATGCCCAAAAAGAGGACATGTCTGCTCAAAGAATTAGAAGGCCAGCCTGGTATGAATGCATGTCAGGCTGCCTGCCAATCATGCAGCTGGCCAACTAAGGGCATACTATGCAGACAGCACCCTGAGCTTGGCATAAATGCATCTAATAATGCGCTCACTCAATGCTTTCTAAGGACTGTCCCCTAGCACTCGCTAGTCCACTTGTCTCCTTACCTTCTTACTAGCAGGCAGAAGCTCCTGGTATATGGTCTGGGACAGAGAAAAGCTGTATGTAGTGAGTGTAGAAGAAAGGGAACATGCCACAGTGTTAGAGAGACCAAAGTCAGCATTACCTTAAAGGATCACTATAGGGTCAGGAACACAAACATGAATTCATGACCCTATAGTGTTAACACCACCATCTAGCCCCCCTGGGCCCCTCATGCCTCCATAAATATAGCAAAATCTTACTATATTCAAGCCGAAGCTGTAACTCTGCATGCTGTTAGACTCATAAAAACAAGCAGTCTGCTGACATCATTAGAAGTGGTGGCCTAATCCAATCATAGTGCTTCCCCATAGGATTGGCTGAGACTGACAAAGAGGCAGATCAGGGTCAGAGCCAGCATGATTCAAACACAGCCCTGGCCAATCAGCATCTCCTCATATAGATGAATTGAATCAATGAATCTCTATGAGGAAAGTTCAGTGTCTGCATGCAGAGGGAGGAGACACTGAATGTTTGGATGCATTTTAGGCAGCCATGACCCAGGAAGGATCTCTAACAGTCATCTAAGGAGTGGCCAGTGAAGTTATCACTAGGATGTAATGTAAAGACTGCATTTTCTCTGAAAAGACAGTGTTTACAGCAAAAAGCCTGACGGTAATGATTCTACTCACCAGAACAAATTCAATAAGCTGTAGTTGTTCTGGTGACTATAGTGTCCCTTTAACTA